ATATATATATATATAATTTAATATATATATTAATTGAAAATTCTAGATAAGGAATGTAGTTTTTTCAATCTAATTAAATTTAAAAAATATATAGTTTTTCGCGAAGATGAACGTTATTCAATTCAAAATTGTGACTAGGAAATGCATTGTTTCAATCCATCTAAATCCAAAAAATATATTAATATATTTTTTATTTATAATATATTTTTTGGATTTAGATGGATTGAAACAATGCATTTCCTAGTCACAATTTTGAATTGAATAACGTTCATGGTTCATCTTCACGGAAAACTATATATTTTTTAAATTTAATTAGAGTGAAAAAACTACATTTCTTATCTAGAATTTTCAATTAACCAGTATTCACGATTTACTTTTTAAAACTAAACTTCTTTTTGAATTGAAATGTGCTTCATGCAATTCCTATAAATAAATATAAAAGTATTGGGCATTGAAATAGATCTGAGATTTTCGGAAACGCATTCGCGAACGTTGAAATGAATTGTTTTCAATCTATTTTAATCCATTTCCATTTACTGGGATATCTCATTCGTGCCGATTACTACAGTTAATCATTCTCTTATTAGCCCTAGTACCTCCGTTCGGGTGTCTCGAACAAGGTATTAATTCGTCAAGAGTCACATCTCTTTTATTCCTTGTTCTTCGTATGGAGGCGCATATGCTTCTTCAGGTTGTCGAGTCGATTGCACCGGCGGTCGCAGTAGTCGCACTTGTACGGCATCAGATTGCTGTGCACGACCACGTGGCCGTTGAGATGGCTGATCTGCTTGAAGCGCTTGCCGCAGATGGTGCAGGTGTACGGGCGCTCGTTCATGTGCGCGGACGAGATGTGCGTCTGCAGATTCGTCTTCCTCACGAACGTCGCCTTGCACACGTCGCACTCGAACGGCCGTACGTTCGCGTGGATCGCCAGGTGTGACTTGAGCACGTTCTTGTGCTTGAAGTTCTTCTCGCAGAGGTGACACTGGAACGGCCGCTCATCGTTGTGCACCTTCTTGTGCACCGACAGATGCGCCAGTTGCTTGAACATCTTGGCGCAGATCTCGCACTGATACGTGCGGCCGTCCTCGTGCGCGGCGCTGACGTGACGGCGCAGCGTGTCCGCCAGGGTGTACCGCTTGCCGCAGATCTTGCAGCAGTACGGACGCTCGTTGGTGTGCGTCAGCAGGTGGCCGTTGAGATTGCGCTTCTCGAGGAAGCGCGCGCCGCACACGTCGCACTGGTACGGCTTCTCGCCGTTGTGCACGTACATGTGCTTCTTCAGCGAGTTCGACAGGCTGAAGCGTTTCGAGCACACGGTGCACTGGAAGCGCCGCTCGCCCGTGTGCACCAGCATGTGCGACTTGACGTGGCCCGCTTGCTTGAACCGCTTGCCGCACACCTTACAGTCGTACTGACGCTCCTGCGTGTGCGTGAATATGTGCCGCTCCAGCACGCTCTTGGTCGTGAACACCTTCTTGCAGCTGTCGCACTCGAACAGACGATAAACGTCGCGTATCTTGGACGCCGCCGCCGCCGCCGCCGTTGTCGTGTCACCTTTGTGCGAGTGCGCGTGTTGCTTCAGCAGATCCAGCGAGTCGAACTTCACGCCGCATACCGTGCACTGGAAGGACCGATAGTCGTGATGGGTCAGCGAGTGCTGACTGAGATGACCTAGCTGCTTGAAGCTCTTGTTGCACACCTCGCACACGTACGGCCGTTCGTTCGTGTGCGATCGCATGTGCCTCTCCAGCACGCTCGGGAAGCTGAATTTTTGCTTGCAATACGTACACTTTAAAGATTGCACCTTCGACACGCGACTCTCCGCGGGCGGCTTCCGTCTCCCGCTTTGATTAGGGCTCTTACCGGCCTTGCCGGGAGACTCTCTCGTGTCCAGCGAATCGCAGTCTTCGTTCGAAGCCTCGAGCTTGGACGTCCCACGTGCTGTTTGAATCACAGATTTTTCCTTATTAGACGTAGCTGTAAATGCATTGGCATTGTTTCTCGTTTTTCTGACTGGTACCTCTCTTTTCTTATCGGCTAATTTATCCTGTCCGTGCGACTGCTTCATATGCTTCGCATACAATCTCGGAACGCTAAATGTTTTATTGCACAGCTTACAATGGAGAACCTCCTTCGCTTTGTGAGTCCTCATGTGGTTCTTCAAATGCCCTATTTTCATGTACTGTTTTTGACAGTACTTGCATTTGAGGGATTGAGTATCTTCGTTGATCTTCGATTCATTCTTCACGTCTGTCTCATCTGTAGACGTTGAATCCAGCGTGCACGCAGCATTACTCGTCAGACATTCATTTTTCACATTGACATAACTAAAGATATTTACATCGTCGGCTTTCGAAAGTGCGTTTTTGTTTTCTTCGCATTGCTGAAACATTGAAAATAAAATAATTTCAATTATTATGTTTATATAATATTACATTTATATAATATTGGATTGGGAACAGAAAGTTCGTTCCGTTTCGAAAGTTTCGTTTTTTGCTAAAAGATGACATTAGTATAAGTTAAAAAAAAAACGGAACGAGCTTTCCGTTCAACTCAATATCAAGACACAACATAGTACATTATACTGCATTATTACATTGATAATTGATGTACTCTGCGCGTCTTCCGTCGTCGCAGCCACATCTCCGTTCCTCTTATTCGACAAATATTTGATCCATTCTTCCTCCGTCCTCAGACTTTCCACATCTTTTTCTACACCTCGAAAACTCTCGCGTGCATTTTGCCTGAACAGTATGTCATATGGAACTCTGCCGTTCTGACAGCGGTACGTCGTGTTGTGAACGATCTGCACGGAGTTCAGCCCCTCGCACCAGGTCCTAGTTGGATTTTTTCTCAGCCAGGATTCGAGCGAGCTCTTAAAATCCCTGTAGCTAACTTCACACTTAGACGCGTCCCCGTGCAGTATGAACAAATCATTCCACAGCGAGCGTAGCTCGTGTACAACTTGTTCAGCAAACTTACGTCCATTGCCGCTCTGTAGCACTCGCGGTGCCCCTATGATCCCCAATACATCTAACAGATTCGCCGCGACCTCTTTGGCCGTATCGCTACGGAGGGCCTTCAGCACGACAAACTCGGAAAGCTGATCTTCGTAAACGAAAAAATATTTATAGTTCAACGTTGAGTCTACCGTCATCTCTATTACGTCAATGCGACCTCTACTATATAATCTCTCTGAACTGTCGGTCAATCTTTTGGGCAGCTGATTTAAAGAGTCCGTTTGACAGGGCTGGAGACAAATGTAGAATAGTCTTAATTAGACTAGTACATATAAATATATCAAAAATTATACAATAAGATAGCCTGATAAAAAATTCTTATATCTTATATTTTTAAGAACTTGTTATATTTTTTATAAAGATTTTTAACAAAACGTCCTAAATACTTTCTCAGATCTTGCAAAGAAATTCTTTAGAAATTATAGAGTAAGAAATCTTGCAGTATTTTAGAATTGATATGAAGCATGTATAAAAAATTTTAAAGAAGCTATAGTTTTTTTCAGCACTTTTAAGAAGTCTAATTCATATAAAAAATCTAAGAAATTTTCTATAAAGTTACAAAATTATACACAATTTTTAAAATATTCTGAAGTTTATAAAAAAAAAATTGTAAAAAATTATATAAAATCTAAAAAAAAACTTGTCACCAAGATAACAATATCTATTTCTTAAATTAAACATGTAATCCCAATGCTATTACAGTATTTCTATAATTTATTTGCTGGATAGAGTAAAAGAAACTTACTGTTGCCACTGCATCTGAATAACTATTTTGTTGCTTGATTTCCTTGTCCCTCTCTTTGGACAAAACTTGTACAACTTTGTTTTGCACGGACTGCGAATTCAGAGTGCTCTGAAAGAACTCTGCTTCCTGCTTTATTATTAAGAAATCCTGATTTCTATCCCCCGGCAACAAGTGATCCAAAGAATTGTTCATGTATGCATTTGGTGTCCACTCCACACTTAACGGCATTTCTTTATTCATTATTACTTTCGTCATGTGTCGTGCCTAACACTGTGTTCCTCTGCTCACGCCGTTCTTCCTACCATTTTCTATAATTAATCAACACAATTTTATTAATACTACTATCAAACAAATAAGTTTTATCATTAAAAAACTAGTGTTTACATTAAAATTTTCTACAAAAAAAATGAATAAACACTGATAAAATCAGTATTAATTTGCTTGAGAATGGTTATCTTTATTACGACTTATAAGAAGTAATTAAAAAATTGCCGCTCTTTTTGCATATCATCTGTATATATTCTTGCCTGTCAAAAATCAAAAGCCGGCGTAATGGGACAAACAATCATTTCTCGATCGAATAATTAACCTATAACGTCATACAAATTCGACCTGCATCAATTCCCAGTTGCCGCCTTCGTCTAAAGAGTTACTCAATTAGGTTCTGTGTACCATATTAGATCGTCCGTCATCCTCTCGCGCATTTTCTCGCTTTGCTTCGATAAATAAATCACGGCAAGTCCAATTCCGTCCGTAACTGATACGTCAACTTCTTAGCGTTTCCTGGCGCACACTTGACTGTGAGTGGAAATTTATTGTCGATGTCAAGGCAAATTTTCATGACGGTCCCTCGCGCGAGAGTTGGAAAACCGCTTAGATTCATGAATTCGACAAAAAGATTAAAAAAATCACATTTTTAAATCAGAAATCAGCAAAGCACAAAAAAAATTTATTCACGCTATGTATATATGTATACAGACAGGGATATTTATTGAGATTGAGAATTGAAATACGCGCATGCTCCGAATGCACACGACGATGTGATTCATATGATTGTGTTAAAGCCACAGTATTGTGGTTAAAGCACTTGCAGGCACTTGTAACATAATAAACATATACAATCTTATCTTGCCATCAACTCGTCGTGCCCTTGCCGTTCGTATTTTATTCTTACAATTCTCTTCACGAGTGAATTTTAAGTAAAACCGTATTTTGTTTCTAATGTAGACGGAAATTCGCAGTAGGAAAAATTAAAGAGAAGATTTAAGTTGGGCGGAATCTTTGACGTGTAGCACGACAATTTACACGTCGAATGAATCTGGATTCTGGGTTATCTCTTTTTGTTCCTTAAAAAAATGACGCAGACCTTAGACGACGCGCGACTCGCTGCTCGTAGAGCAGTGCAATTTGATAGTGACGGTCGACACGAGCAAGCCCTGTATTATTATGACATCGCCGTTAAACTTCTTGCCAGTTTGCAATCAGATGGCATGTACGAAGATAAGCTTGCGGAGTATCGTGAGAGAATTTCATCGATACAACGTCTTAGTAAGTGTGCATCTGCAGGTTTTTCTTCGTAAACATTGCGAATGATTTTACCAGAAAAATTTCATTTCCTTTTCAGTTCGCGAGGAGGAACAAAATAGTCACAAGTCAGAACCTTTGCACCAATCCGAGCTACAGAGATGTAAATTTCTCATGAATCAAGCGTTAGACGCGGATGAGGCGGGTTTGAAGGACATTGCTGTAAAGTTGTATACTGATGCTGCTGAACTTGGCCTTAGTGCGGTAAGTAACAATTCGATATATATCCTACTTCTATGTATTATTACACACCTGTATTTGATGTTTTAATTCAATCTTTGTATTGTACAGAAACCTGCTGACGCAGAAGTAAAAGCAAAGATAACAAATCTTGTCAGGGTTGCCGTCGAACGGGCGGAGTCTTTGAAGGGAATCAAAAGTACTGAGGATAATGGTGTAATGCAGAGTCTTGCTAAACTACCATCTGTACCAGAAAGCAGTTTCCCAGATACTGAACAGCCAATACAATCCGAACAGCCAGTAAATGCAGCGTCAACCGCTCCAGGTAGTAAATATTATAGACATACATATTTCATTTATATTTTATTTATATTTATAGTTTAAATACTTGACACCAAGCCACTATTGTGTCTCCTGATATAAATTTAATATAGGCGAAAGTTCTATAATATATTTCTATAATATAGTTCTATAATATATTCAAATAATTACTTGAATAAATTTCAGCAAGAGATATCAGATCCTCACTTCATCGGGGAAGCAGTGGACATCTCAAAGTAACTGGTGGCAGCTCCAATTACACTGAAGAAGAAAAGAGAGTGCTGCTCTATGGCTCTCATATAAATGACAACGAATTTGTACCATTTATGCGTATCGATCTTGCTGAAAAATTCCAGTATGCCTTTCCGTTTACTGATAAAGATGGATTATTAGAGCTAGCACCAAAGCAAAAGCCTGATTTCGCTGGCTGGCGTCGGCCAGAAGAATTGTATTCTGATCCTAAGATGGTTATTGGCCATCATGTCGATTACTACAGCATAAAACAAACTGTTAGTAGTATATATTAATATAATTAATATTAAAAACGTATATATTCTCTTAAATTCTTAATTTGTCATATTTAAAAATAGGACAACTAATAACGAAACTGTAGTACACTTGATGGAATATCTAGTTGGTGTTTTATGTTTTAGGTAGTTTCTGATTGTTCATTTGTTGCTTCCCTGGCTGTGAGTGCTCAATATGAGAAAAGATTTGGACGAAGGCTCATAACATCCATTATTTATCCCAAAAATAAACACAAGGAACCCATATATAATCCATTTGGTAACCATTTATTTTAATTGACTTATTTTACATAAGTATTATTAATTATATTATATTCAGTATAATACACTAAGGCCCGATTGTACCAACGTTATTTCGACTTTAAGCGAAACTTAAAACTCTGTCTTTCTGTAAAACCTTAAGAGAGAGTTTTAAGCGTCGCTTGAAGTCAAAATAACGTTGGTACAATCGAGCCTGAGAATGTTTATAAGGAAGAAGTACATTTTACGAACATTTTATTTGATTTATTATTTATATTTTTGTTCATGGTTGGCTTTTTACATGGACACAACTTTAAACATTCACTTGATGGCTATATCTATAAATAAGAATTATGCTATTGAAAGATACATTTAAGTACAAAGCACAATCATTCTTCACATAAACTTCATTTTGCATAAAACATGCGTTTAATATTTATTATATATTAGAAATGATGAACATATAATATTAGGAAAATACATGGTGAAACTACACATCAATGGCATTCCACGTAAAGTAATAATAGATGACCTTCTGCCTGTAAGCCGATACAACCAATTACTCTGTTCCTACTCTAGCAATCGTGGCGAGCTATGGATTTCTTTACTCGAGAAGGCTTATATGAAAGTGATGGGTGGTTACGATTTTCCTGGATCAAATAGTGTAAGTTTGTATATCCTTGCAACATTAAATTACTACTTGTTCTCTAATTTATCTCATCAATCTTTTCTATTTTTTTTTTTTTTTTAATATATCACATCTTATTTATCTTTATAGAATATAGATTTACACGCCTTAACTGGTTGGATACCTGAGAGATGGGCGATAAGACCAAACGAACCAGATTTTAACAAGGATAATTTATTCGATGTATTACTATTACGACTTCATAAGGGAGACGTGCTAGTCACCGTAGCCACAGGGGAATTATCGGATTTGGACGCGGATCGTACTGGCCTTGTACCAAGTCACGCGTACGCTGTTCTCGATGTGAGAAAGGTTAACGTAAGTGAAGCAAAAGGATTGTTCATTTAATATCTGTTTTAAATGTATTTTAATAACATTTTAACAGCTATAAGATTTTTTACATATAAATTATTTACACATTATTTACATTTTTTTATTTATTAGAGAGAATATGAATTTAATTTAAATTGCATCGATGCACATGTAGGGCGAAAGATTATTACAATTGAAAAATCCATGGTCTCACCTGCGATGGAGAGGCAATTATTCTGAGCTTGACGTAAAACATTGGACTCAGGATTTGAAGGAAACATTGAATTATGATCCCGAATCAGCTTCGGGATTCGATAACGGTGTTTTTTGGATTGATTATGATAGTATATGTCGGTTCTTTGATGTATTTTATTTAAACTGGAATCCAGGATTATTTAATTATACTTACTGCATACATCAGTACGTAACTCTTCTGTATTACATCTATATTATGTGATTGTTTTTTCTTTTAAAGTAACTCAATTTTATTAAAGAATGTGGAAAGCTGGTATTGGACCTGTGAAAGATGCGTACAATATTGGTGACAATCCACAATTCTCGTTGGAAGTCCAGAGTAAAGGGTCTGGTGCTATCTGGATACTTCTTACGAGGCACATCACAGACATAGCAGATTTTCGACAAAATCAAGAATATATTACAGTTTTAATTTATCGTAACGATGGAAAGAGAGTATATTATCCACGTAAGTGTGTAATAAATTTTTTTAAATTTAATTTTGTCTTCAGCTATAATAAATGTAAAAACTATTTAGATGATCCACCCCCGTACATCGATGGCGTGAGAATAAATAGCCCGCATTATTTGTGTAAAATCAAACTCGGAGATGAAAGTGATACAAAATATACTTTAGTCATATCTCAGTATGAGAAAACAAATACTATCTATTATACACTCCGTGCATACGCAACATGTCCATTCATATTGCGAAAAATACCTCAATTTTATAAATACGAAAAAGAGGTATATATGCAAATATTTCTCTATTCTTTTTAGATCATTTTTTAAATTGTTTAGATTATATATTAACATGATAACTTTATAGGTCACAGGTCAATGGAAGAACATTACAGCAGGAGGATGTGGCAATCATCCCACTTATGTGAATAATCCACGATATCAAATAGTGATCGAGAGCGCTAACAACAATAATTATTTATTAATTATTTTGAAAGGACCCAAACAGTATCAAATTGGCTTCGACATTAACACCGTTGTACTAAATGATGCAAATGCAGTAACTGCTTTTAAAACAAAAAGTTCCGGACCATTTAGGTACTGTACTTTATCTGGATTGTTTTATCCATAAATGATATTATCTTCATTTTACATTTATCTTTATTTACAGATCTGGATTTGTATATCTGGAATTGGAAGATGTACCCGCAGGAACATACCATATTATTCCTTCCACATATGTACCCGGTCAAGAGGGGCCATTCTTTTTAATTTGTAAATCTTCTTGTAATTTGCAACTGCAACTTCTTTAACAAACTAAATATACAAATTGTTGAATTGTAACTGTAGATATTTTAAGCTGCTTGTATAGTAAATTGTATATATGCGCATACGTCGGTTTATCGGCTTTTATTTCGCTTGGAACTTTTTTCAAATCAACTTTATCCGTAATTTATATTTAATAACAGTTTTATTGTTATTTTTGTCATAACTATTGTTTAATTAAAATTTTTTCCTAAAATCTATTTGGATTTTACACTACAAAATAATTTTTCTTAATTTGTTAATCCGTGAAATACAACGTTATATATGTAATACTAATGTGTACATAATTGTTTCTATAAAAAATATATCTGCAATTGAAAAATATGTTGATTATTTATAATTCACAATTATAAAAATGAATTCGGGAAAGAATAATTTATGTACAGAGAACTGTTTCATAATAGTTTTATTTTATATTCCAAAAGTATATAGGAACGAGACTAGACATCTATAAATTTTATTACCATCAAGATTTGTGGGACTTATACTTATGGTTGTTTATATGTTAATTAATATTTGAAAGTAACATTTTACAACACAAGCAACACATAATCATCAAATATTATTTAGTTCGTATTTAACATGACTGCGTTTATGGGGAGAATATGTACAAGGCACTACAGTCTAAAATTTTGACTGATTATGGTATGTAAATGTATCTAAAATAAATTGAAGTATTTTTATTACTTATTTCTATATATAATCGACATGCACAATACATCGAATAAATTTTGGAAAAATATTTTAATGTAATATATGTATATTGCAAAGTGTAAAGACATTGACGTAATAACATATATTTAATTAAAAATATTTTCATTTGCATAGACAAAAAATATTTGAGTAGAGAATTGTGTATAGTATTTACACAGCAATTGTATAATTATTTGAAGTTAAATAATAAGTGAATTTGTAACGCATAACTCTTGATGTCCATTTGTAGATAATAAATTCATTACACATAATTATTTTTATTTTCTTTGCTGTATGTATTGAAAATTCTTTCTCCACATATGCACACTTTGCACTTTTTTATGGCATCAGTTTTTTTTATTTTAATATATTGACAATCTAATCGGTTTGTATTGTTCATGTGTGTGTATGTTGAATTCAAACATATACAAATTGTACACAAAATGTTGATTTTTGTACACAATATATAATAAAATACAGATCGTGAAAATATTGCAGGACGAACCATAAAACAAACATTGAAAGGTAATCCACACACAAATATACACACAATTTTGTTTTCTAATATGTACATATTTTATAATATATATTAGTGGCGTTCCTTAATTTTTTTCCCATATATTAAAATAATTCACAATTTTTTGATTTGTCAAATTATATTTACTGTATATCGACTGCATATTGACATAAAGATAGACATCGTTTCATTTTTCCGTTCTTTCATGCACTGTAAAAAGAATACAAGTCAATCTTAGTAGGTAGACAGTTTTGCTGAAGAGAAAGAAAGAGTGAATTAATCAGAAAGGAAAAATTACTGTAATTTAAAGACAGACAAAACTTCTATTCTTTTGACCACACATGAAAGATTATAGACCATTGTTCTAATAATATTTATTGTAGTACCAGTTTGTATTAATACAAAAATAGATTATAAAATGCTGGTGTTAATACATACGATGAGGTATTATATTAAGAAGTCCAGTAAATATATAATGAAAAGAACTCGTGAGATTCGTGAAATTAAACTAGAAAATTGAAAGCTTCATGTAACGAGGGATATGTATGTTAATGTATCTATCTGATTCACTGTGTGAAAAATAAATAATATGTGAAATCGCGTAAATATCTATCTATTAGACAATACAGTGCCTCACATTTATAATAAACATTTAATGATAAGAGAATTATAATTCTGTAATTTTAATAGTACCTATCTAGAAAAACCAGTTACACGTATATTTTGATCAATTGCATTTTTTTCAAAGAATGCAAAACGTTCTTAGTTAAAAGTGACACTTTTTAAATTGTCTTGACTGCTTAATATCATATAATAAAAAACAAGCTGAAATAACTTTCACGCTTTCACATGATTTTTTGATTCATTTCGAATACAACCATATTCTTCATGTGTACAAGCTATAGTTTCCTGCAAGCTGCCAATATTGAAGATTGTACTTCGCCCTGTGCCTTTAAATAGTTTCTGTATGATTATTTCTTTATGTAGGATGGACAAAGTTTCGCAATTACAAAATCGTAAAATCGCGTCAATTGTTAATGACAGTTTTTTTGATGAATTTGCAGTCGATCGATGTAGAGTGTAAATTTGATGCAGTTATTATTACATTTTTTCATTTTTGATAGCTTTATAGTTACGTATTCAGAACTTTTGTGTTGCAGAGAAATTACTTCCAAATTCCTTCAAATCCATTCACAGTTGACGCGATAATTAAATAACTAGTATATTAAATTTCTTAATTTGTGTATATCTTGTTAAATCGCGTGCAATACTCCTTTTATTTATGTCATGGTATCTAAACTTTCTATCCATTATTTTCATAATTGTACTTCAAATTTGTAAATATATTAATTTATGCATTAATATTATTTTTCCTTTTGTTGATCTCATGATTTTTTTCATTATATCTAATAATGAAAATTAAAAAGTTTTCACTAAATCATAATGCGTGTGGCAAATTTTCGCAAATTAAGAAATTAATTTTAAATCATCTAAGTAAGTTAATGTTAATATATGTGCAGATATTTGCATTAGACAGTATATAAAGCAGTTTCTGTTAATTAATAGTAACTTTCACTTAATACATCAAAATTTACTTAAGCTAAATTTAAAATATTTCTACAAGATACAATATCCAAAAAAGACAATATATAAGGCGATATATGCAAATATATATTAATTTTTAAATTAATCACGATTCATTTAATCTACAATTAAACTTTTGTAAATATACGTTATATCTTACAATGTTTTGTTATAATATATATAAAGTAAATCTATTTATGTTACAAGTTTAGTAATATATCATAGTACGTATTACTCTTTTGAGGCTCTTTAAATACGTGTCTCATAGAAATATTTTAAATTATTGTAAAGCATTAATACTCGCGACAAAAAAAATATGATCACATTTTGTACAAAACGAATGTTTTGCATAAAGAAATGAAATAAATCACTAAAATACTAAATAGATCTTCTGTGTATAATAAAAAGAAATAGAGATTTTACAGTAGTGAATGAGAACTGGACGTCAGTTGTGTAAATGAGATATATATTTTACGCAGTAAAGTCTGCTCTTTCTTACTAGGATATGCTATATTAAATATATATTATATGTTATTGTCAAAGTATAAAACTACTTTCTAATGGCATGATGCTTGATGCAAGATGTGAGAGAAGAAATGGTATAATTACAAAATGCTGCCTCATCTCTTGAATTTTTATTTTCATCTACTAAACTCTGGAAGTGGCTTGGCTATCCCTTCGTTATAGGCTTTATGAACTGCTTCACACACAAATCTATATTGACTCTGAAAAAAATATCACATTCAAATAAACAAGAATAATATATATCGTCTAAATAGACATAACCTGGTGATAATAAATAAAACTTACAGCATTCTGTATCATCATTGCTCTCTGATCTCTCATAGAGCGTACAATATCTAATGGATACACTGGTTGATTAGCTTCAATTAAACACAATGCAGTTTCCATTAAAACTAATACACCGGTTCGGCCTATTCCAGCAGAGCAATGCACAACCGCAGGTTCGACTATTCCAGTACGAGCTGCTCTAACGCGTTCTGTGAACGTAGTAAATTGTCGCCAATCACTGGGCACTCCGTGATCAGGCCAGCTGCAATACTGCATATGTGTTATATCTCTTTCCTCTCCAGTCTGCAAAAATAAAAAACATGTAAATTCCCGCAAAAGCATCGTGAAAAAAGCATGTTAAAATCGTACACATCATTATATTATTAAACATCATATTTCATATCTGTGTAATAAGGAATGTGATAGTACAAAGCTTTACTCACATTAACATCGCGAAGTATGAATTCTCTAAAAATAAATGTATCCTCGACATTTTCTGCAGTCGACGTAAGTGTGAGATTTCGTAACGTGAGAGTCTCGTTATATGCCGGCCAGTATTGATGACATTTCGCACGACCACGTTCAACTAGGGTTGTCAGCATAACAACAAGCGTACTACCCGCTTCTAAAACCATCTGCCAAAAGTCGGCAACGGTGGAAGACAAGGGACCCTGCGTGGCGATATACCTGTTAATAATACCTGAACCTGGTATTTCCATGTTCACATAATTGGCATTGATATAATCGCCATTTACAGATCCCATCAAGATTACTCGAGTAACGTCATCTATAAAAATATATACACAAATTATTTTGATAACTACTCTCAGACGGAACTTTTCAATAATGTATTAATATAATTCTTTTTGTTACGGAGATATAATATAAAAAAAATCTTGAACTTACATGGTGAAATATCTCGATAGCGATTTTTTGATTGATTTTCTGGCTTTTTCGATTCAAGTGACGTAAGTTCCGGATTTTTTCTGTATAACTGTTCATACTGTGCGATAAGAGCACCGCTTGCTAGACCGTCCGCAAGCAGTAACATAGATTGAGCCAGTGCGTCAGATCCAATAGCTGCGTGAGGCGCATCAGGTACATACCTTACAATTCATTATAATAAATTAGATATAGTAAGATTTACAATATAGAATTATAAAGAAAAACATCCATAACTCAGGGTTACATACCTATAAGGCGGTTCTTCTTCGGACGTCTCGTCAGTACCAGCCAATGCATTATACAGAGCATTGGGTCTGACTGTTAAAGTGAGCTCACCAGACCCGCGATCGCGTGATTGCCGTATTAAATTTACTACGCGTTCATGCAACAAACCATTCACATCGATTCCATTGATATAAACAACCTGTATAAAAAGAAATTTACGTAAGAAAGAAATAACATACCGATACAAATAAACGCATGTCTTAAATGAATAAGTACCTGATCTCCTTCATTCAATTTTGGATAACAACGATCGGCAGGTGTATTCGGTGCTACTCGTGACACTAAGATTGGCATATCCAAATCTAATCCACCTTTTACATTAAAACCAAAACGACCTTGTTCATCTGGTGTGAGAGATATGGTTACTAAACCATCTTCTAATATCTAAAATAGTAAAAAAAAAATATATTTACTGAATATCTTTACTTTTCACTTGTTAATTATTATATGCACTTTCGATAGACATACGTACTTGTGGGGCTGGTGAACTAGTAGGTTCGCTGTAGTCTGGCAAATCGTAAATGTTTCTTTCAGCAGTCGTATCATCGTCTGCATAAGTGAACACTCGAGATCCTAACGCTGGAGAAAACGCTCCACCTTGCGTATAGCTTCCTGTTATTTCTTCCCTCAAAGATAAAAAACCACCTTCACTATAAGAGGAGATAAATAAAACTAAAAATGCTAAATAAAAATAAACGCTAACTATATGTTATTTTTTTTACTGTGAACGTAACTTGTTTTACAAATTCTACAAATTATAATGTAAAAAATTATATTGAATGTTTCAAAACAATTATTGTTTCTTCTATCGAAAAAAATTTGTAAATAAAATATTAATCGTTTACTTAACCTTCTGTCTAATTATTTATGTACAATTAAGAGGGGAGAAATTATAGTTTTACAGTAGGAAATTTTCTTAGATAGTATAAATAAATATTATTATTATATGTAACTTACTCATCACTTGGATTTCCTTCACCCCATGCTTGACGAGGTTCACGAGCACCGAGGGACTGAACCTTATTGTCGTAAGATCGTGCAGGTCTACCAGGAGGTATCAGTTTTCCTTTGTCTTCAGTAACAGGCGCCGATGCAATGGTATGAGCAATTTTTTTGCTAGGTGACCTAAATGTTAAAGATTTTATGAGAAAAATTCCTACAAAATATAAATTTAATAATTCGATTATTGCAAATTGTTAGTTACCGTATAAATGTCCTTTCCACACGTGCTCTGTGCTTCCCATCTTCAACTGTTTGAAATTCTGTACGTCCTGAATATGTGAATCTACTACTTAAAGTAAGGGGGAACCGTTTTGGTCGCATTTTCGGGCTGTGAAGTCTAAAGAAGGTATGGTGTTCAACACAAGCTTTCCATAAATTTTTGGAACTACGATAGGTTTGCATATTAAAACCCAATAATGTATCGTAGTTTTCAGACTGCAAGACAAATTAGTTATATTATTAGTTATTAGTTTTATCGCAAAACTGACAAAGTTGCACATATTAATGATTAATGAAACTCACTTGTTCTCGTCGAAGCTGTATAAAAAATTGTTTTCTTTTAAAAGAGATCTTAACTATTTTTGACCACGAAAATACATTGATTTTTATGCCATTCTGAAATACAACCAGACCAATTGATGTAACACCCAACTGTATTTCTTTGTTTGTTGAATCCTGAAAAGCAAAGTTTTTATGCATACACGTTCATTTTATGTTTAAAAAGTATATGTTTTTGTTTAACATATATTATGTACCCTTGCTTTATGTAATTCCACCCCATACATATCTAAACGTTTTGCATGATCTAAGAAGTTAAATTCTGCATCAGCTGGCAATTGTCCCCTATAAATCAAGAAAAAAAAAGTACATTAATAACATTAAAGCAAATTACAAGATTAACAAAACATTAGATGTAAAGATGTACAAACTTGTGCAGTTTATGTAACTCTGATATCTTCTTTTCCATTTCTTCTGTTTGTCCAGGTATCAATTGTAATTGTGAAAGATAGCCTGATCCATGTTCCTCTGGATGATAATCTCCTAATTCCGCTATATATACATGAAATAAAAAGATTCAATGTAATTCGCTTTATATTGATTCGTATTCTAAAAAGACTAAAATTATTCTATTATTTTTAATATACTTACACTGAACCGTATAACTAGCAATTAAACAAGCCGTACTGGGTGGCAATTGAAGTTTTCCTTGAAGAATATCTCTACGTATTTGTAAATAAAATTGATATCTGGTATATTCTTCTTGTAGTTTACTAGGGTCGGATACATAAAATTTTACTCTAAAAAAGAAATGTCCGCCTGAAACAAACAAATATCTATTGTATATTTGCAGTCATGTAACGTATGAAAAGACTAATTGACTGACTAGAAAATATATTTAGTTTTCATATATTATGCAGATATTTTGTTAAAGAAATAGGACCTTTACCCTTACTTCTTATCTGCTTTTTCACAGGTTTAGAGGGATCCAGCCATCTCTGGAAATATTTATATCAAAGATTAATTTTTTAAAATATTTGTTTATATTATTTATTTATAAATAAAATTCATATATATATATCAAGTATTTTTTAAAATAGATTTTATATGTAAAGAATTAATTCTAGATAACTTTTTATGATGTTACCATTATATCAGACGTAGGATTAGTTGTGCTAACTCCATTTTCAGCATATTGTAAACCAAAGTAATCCTTTTCAATAAGTTCTAAATGTTGAAACACCAAGTCCAATAAAACTTGTCCTTTTGCTCGTTTCTATAATACACACATTTATTTTTACTTGAATTCAACTGTTGGATCTGTGGAAGGATGTTATAGACTTACATCTAATTGAAATGTATGCTGTGTATCATCTAGGAAAGTAACGGTGGCTGATAAAGATTTTAGCCTGCGGTTCCTCGCTAATTCAGCACCACGAACGTGGTAGCTCCCACTGGAGCCACTCAACGCTCTGCGTGATACACTTTCAATCATCTCAAATATATGAAGGCGGGTCAACCACCTTCTCGACACCACCTCTCTGCTATGCTGACTACCTACATCAAGAATTAAACAGATTACATATATTAATCAATCTTTTAGAGAAAAATGTATACGTATAGTAATTTATTAACAATTTTTATTTAATGTGCTTCAATCCATATGATCCATACATATACAACTTGTAAAGAATCTTATTATTTTCTTTTTATAAAATTAATATAGATTGTCCACATATGTTTTACAAACATATACACAACAGAACTCTGTTTATGCGCACTCCATTTATACAAACAAGTTTAAGATTAGTTCCAAATATATACGAAATCAAAAGAGTTCCTATTAACAGAACTGTTTGGACATAACAATAAGATCTCGACACGCTTGACTTCCATTTTCGTCATCTCCTATTATTGAAACTAATACAGCTCCTCTTATCATAGCTATTAAGCAAGTCTCTATTAGCCAAGCCATTTTGTTATCCAAACTGTCTTGTCCCCCGATAAGTCCAGATAAATAGAGTTCTATTACAAAGATAAAAATTAATATTATGTGAAAATTATTATGCTCAAAAATAATAGAAACATGTAATTATATCAAGGATTAGAAATTAAGTATATAATTAAATTGAAATAAATAAAACAGTACATAGTGATTATATATGTATGTTTGTGATAGATTTGTGATACAAGTATAAAGCCTATGACACAAAAACGTAAAGCAGTAAGACGTAAGCAGTAAGTGAATTGGCTAATCACAGTAGAGAATGTAAGATTATTACTTTCCGTTTTCTACTGTGATTGGCCGATTTGCTTACTGCTTTACATTTTTCTATGTGCCATGGGCTTAAAAGATCATCATTTCATTAAAGCCATAAAGTTTCTGATTATTAATAAAAATTTTTAAAGGCAAATCTCTTTCTTGCGTTCAAATTAATAGATATATTTTTTTGACATAAATAAATACAAAGTTTTTGTTAAAATATATACTGTAAATATATTATAAAGGTTTGTATATTTCGGCTGTACTTTTCCCACATTTCTCGATTCATTTCTTTCTGCTAATTTTTAAATATTTAAAACTATGTGTGTCAAAAATATTACTAAAGTACAGCTGGAAAAGATTCTTTTGCAAAAACAGCCTTATGTTAATTAGCACTAAAAATACACTCCACAAACACAAATAGATACGAAAGTATAATTACATTCAAGAAATATTAAAATATCATGAAAACAAGTTTACCAAGATTTTGGGTCAATAATTCAACACAAGCTACATATTCAAGTAGCCTACACATGCACTTCTTTTTTTTTTGCAAGTTAAAAATAACTTTATGATAATTAGCACACTTCCAACCACAAATAAATAGAAAAATATATAATTACATTCCTGCATTCCAGTGATGTCATTAAAAACAAGTTTACCAAGGTTTTAGGTCAATAATCCAACGTGAGTTACATAATCAAATTGCCAGAATAATGTAGAACGGGAATATTCTGAAAATAGTTTATACAAAAAGGAGAGAGTAGGACTGCAGTGTAGCTAACCGCATAATTGGGTTCTGGAAAATTTCTTTCCAGGACTAACCCGTCAATACATTGACGGACGTGTTGCATGTAATTATTACAATAAAAAAAAATACATAAGATTATTTGAACGACAATGTATAAATATGATGAGATACCACAGGAAGTGCTACATAATTACACCGTCGAGCATGCAAAATCATTCCTCCACCAGACACGTACGATCAGTGAGAGATTATATAGCTACTCCGCGAGTAATTCGATTTGCGAGATTCGGCGGGGCTTAACCCCGACTAATAATAAAATACTCACATTCATGATACGCGCGACACGCTCTACTCGCGATCGCCGCAAAACCCTGTAGGCAGGATTCTCGAAATTGTCCCAAACGTACATACGAGCCCGGGTGCCGCGCTCCCCTCAGAACAGCATTGGACTCTCGGGCGAGACGTGCAGCACAGGTCCCTTCTCATAATTGTGCCGATCCAACGTGCGCGGTCCACTCCGCGTGGACGCGTAATATCATTTGTCGTGCGGCAACGGGCGAACGGCCGTCGCGCATTTCCTCGCGCGAAAATCCGCACCTCACGCGCGCCGTACGACGCCCCGCCGACGGCAAATTTCTAATCGCACACCACTTCGCCACGGCACCGCTTCTCGCCCATTCTTACCAACGTATAAGGTAATAAACACGGCCGCGCGGCGGCGAGGGAGAGAGAGATCGGCGATCGGGAGTTCCGGACGCGGGGCAGCGCGTGGCGTTCGATCAATCGCGGGATAAAAGCGTTCCCCGAGCGATTCAGGAGCGAGCCAGGGCGCTCTACAAAAATATATGCGCATATATGCGAGATTCTATTCAGGTGCAGCGTACATACGTATATATACGCGGCTATATACATATGCGTACGTATGCGCATGAAATGAAAGCTTAAGTAGCTCACATGAGATAGCCGTGTTTTTGCGCGTTTTGTTGTGAAACGAGGACTCTAAATCTCTAATCGGCTGCTAACGTCCCGATTATGCGAGAGATGATTTGACGGCTGGTAGAAAACGCGGTTCGTACGTACAGGTGTTACAGGATGTGCGTATGACGTATGTTGTGTGCGTATTCCTTATATATGTATACATATGATATATGTATACATATGTGTGCGTAGATCAGCATACCTACAGGCTGATATAATTTCGATATATACAGTGTCGATATTGAAAATCCGCAATAAACGTAACATGAACGTCACGATAGATTATTCAATAAAATAACGAGAGAAATGCAACCGGTGTAAGAAGCTCATCATTCTAAAGGTCCATCCACAATGAGAGCAGTATGTCGCAATCCGTAAAAAATTGACCAATCACAGTCGAATATGAAAAGAATGATCGACTATGATTAGTCAATTTCTTGCGGCTTACAACTTACTACTCTCATTGTAGATAGACCTTTAAAGAAACTTATCCAATCGTATTTCTATCATAAGAGCGCATGTAAAGTACGATTAGATAATTTTCTTTAGGGTACCTGCACACTGGACGTGGAAACGCTTGCCGCGCGGCAAGACACAACGCGGTAGCCAATGGACGTGTCATCTTTCTTTAGGAGCTGTAAGTTTATTGGCTACTGCGTCGCATTTTGCCGCGCGGCAAGCATTTCCGCGTCCAGTGTGCAGGAGCCCTTATGCATATGATCATGCAAGTATGCAAGTTTGTTTGGATTCTTATCACGCGATAAAATGCGACGCGGCAACCAACCATTCCTTCGTTCTTATGGAAAAGCTGTAAACTGATTGACTACCACGTCGTCTCGTCGCGTCTCGCGTGAACGGGAGCCATCGGGGTGCGTTTCCACTGAGCGCGTCACGCATCGCGTTATCCGAATTGACCAATCAAAATATCCCATTTTATTGCGTATATTTGCCGCGCGATCCTGGATTTCAAACAAAAAAAGATTATTTTATCTCTAAAATGTCGAGTAACCTAATCGATGCGTCGCGCAAGGAAATGATGCAATAAAATGGAATATTTTGGTCTATTAATTGTGACGCGACGGACGACGCGCGTGACGCGCTCAGTCAGGGAACGCACCCTCAGGTTTCTCTCACATCAGATCCCCTTCCAGCCAGTTTCGTTTGAAACAATTCCAAAAAAAGCCGACGCTCGATTGGCCACGCCGCACAAGTCGCACGTTGCTCGGGTTGCTCCCGAGACTGCGTGCAGGAATTTACGACATATTATTTTATCCTTGTTATTCGCCGAATGTTAAACAAGGATAAAATGATAACTAGATGCGCCGGAGGCGAAGTTTCCGAACGCAGCCTAGCGTTGCCCGCGCGGTCAGCAATGGCGCGCTCCAGCCAATCAACGTCTCGCTCTCACGGCGGGCTGCGCGGGACGTTCCGTGTGTGCGAGGCGTCACGATTCGCGGCATCGCGGCGTTGCGTTGCGTGTGTTTGGTTATAAATCCCGCCATCTCCGCGCGCCCTGTGGTCGCACGAGCTTTTACGGTCGATGCTCGTCGCTCTCCGTCGGCGATTGAATTCGCGAAATAAAAGTCGTATCGGTGCGCACTTCACAAGTGACCGGAAGGGAAGATGTGATAACGCCGAGGCTGCTACGCATCTTCTTGAATGTTTTGTTCCTCCCTCGCCAGTTAACGACGCAGGCGTTGATTATAATTTCGCGTTATAACGAGAAGGTTCCCGTAGCCGCGTGCGTGAGTAAAAATCCGCAAGCCAAGCCATGGCGAACGTGTCCCTCGACAAGGATATGTTTTTCCGGCGCATAAAGCGCCTATACGCTGCGTGGAAGGTAAGCGTGAAAGCCGAAAATCGCCGTATCTCACGTTCCCGGCGTGCCGAATTGTTGCGTGCTCGTGTACAATCTTTCGTTTTCAACAGGACGGGGAGGTTGCCAATGATGACAGTTTCAGTAAGATGGATTGTCTCGTTTCCGCCGTCGGCACTGATGAGGACATCGTTTACAGCAAGTCCATAGCGTTGCAGGTGCGTGCGCTACAGAGTTGGAAATTTTGAAGACTTCGCTCGCTGCGAGTGTCTCGCCAAAGTGATGCGATACATGTACTAATTGCTCTGAAGGCTGAATGTTTACCAGTCTTTATATAATATTTTTGATTTTCTTATATAATCAAGAAGTCTGTTGGATAATAAGATATACTTTGTATTTCTGGAAATTAATTTTCTATATTTATGTTACATTTGCTGAAGATATATCAGTGATCCAAAATTTATTGGAAATGTCCAGTATAAGATACATTCTGTTTTATTGATTGTATAAGAAATGAATTCAATATATGAATATGTGCTTTGTTTTAGACATGGCTACTCAGCTATGAACTCACGGATACTATAATGATACTGGCAGAGGAATCCATCAATTTCTTGGCCAGTAAGAAGAAAATTGAATTTCTAAGAAAGGTAGAAAACCAGAGCACCGAAGATACAGGAGTACCGCCTGTGAAATTATTTGTGAGAGACAGGGTATGTATGTTGCATAATTTATATAAGAATTTTATTGAATGTGAAAGTTGGTTACATGCTAACCAATATTTTGTCATTCTTCTTACAGAGCGATGAAGACAAGGCAAATTTTGGAAAGCTCATTGAAGTGATGAAGGAAAGTAAAAAAGGCAAAACTTTGGGAGTGTTCTCTAAAGAAAACTATCCTGGTGCCTTTATGGACGCCTGGAGAGCTACCTTAAAGAACGAATCTTTTGATACGGTAAGCACAAGTAACAAAAGAAATTTGATTATCCAAACACATCGCCCATTTGCTACTAGATTTGCTAACACAACTCATAAAATAAAGTTTTCCAGAAAATAAGTTCAAAATGTTTTAAATTATAATTTTGAAATATTAATTTCAAAATGTGCAATTTTGGTATAATAACTAATTTATAGAAGAATATATAATATGTTCTTAAGTATATTTTTTCTTTGTTTCCATTCTTTTTTTGGAATTAATTAAAAAAATGACAATTTTTTACTTATGTTAAATGAACAAATGAGCGATATGTTGAAAAAGTATAAAATCTTCATATTAGTATAATTACATATAGGTTGACGTGAGTGCCGCAGCTGCGTATGTCATGTGTCCAAAGGAAGATAGTGAGATAATTACTATAAAGAAGGCTTGTCTGATATCGGTGGACGTTTTCACCAAGTACCTTAAAGATCAGATAATGGAAATCATAGATTCGGACAAGGTATATTTTCTTCGATTCTTAACATACATACAAGATTATAGCTATATTATATGGAAAGAAAAACGGAATGTGGATGAAAACCTTACACAATTGTGTATTTCGATTTCAGAAAGTTAAACATTCAAAGCTGGCGGAAGGTGTGGATACAGCTATCACAAATAAGAAGTACGTAACTGGGGTAGACATTACGCAGGTAGATATGTGTTACCCTGCAATTATACAAAGCGGTGGAAATTATTCGCTTAAATTTAGCGCAGTTAGTGACAAAAATACTACTCTCCATTTTGGTGTTATTGTTTGTTCATTGGGAGCACGTTACAAATCTTATTGTTCGAACATAGTGAGAACTCTGTTGGTTAACCCTACAAAAACAATTGAGGTATGAAATGTTTATTACTAAAATCAGATTCCAGAAATTTTCAATGTTCTAATTTAATAATGCATTGTTATAGGAAAATTATAATTTTTTGTTACAACTGGAGGAAGAGATTTTGAAAAAGTTAGTTGCAGGAACGAAAATAAGTGAAGTATACGAAGCCGGTATTAAATTCGTGAAAGATGAGAAACCAGAAATGTTGAACCATTTAACCAAGAATTTTGGATTTGCTATGGGCATTGAATTCAAAGAAAGTTCTTTACTGTTAGGCCCGAAAATTCATGCAGTAGCGAAGAAGGGCATGGTATTTAATGTTAATGTTGGTCTTGCAAACCTTACCAATTCAGACGCAATGGACAAGGAGGGAAAAATGTACGCCCTATTCATAGGCGATACAGTTATAGTGAACGAAGGACAACCGGCTACTAATTTAACACCATCGAAGAAGAAGGTGAAGAACATAGGTATATACGTGAAGGACGAGGATGATGAAGAAGAGGAGGGCAGTGGAAAGGAAAATGAGCCAAAGCCAGAGATTCTGGGACGTGGAAAGAGAACTGCTGTGATAGAATCTAAATTGAGGACCGAGCATAGTTCGGAAGAGAAGAGAAAGCAACATCAGAAAGAATTGGCTCAACAGCTAAACGAAATTGCTAAGGCTCGATTGGCCCAGCAGTCTGGTGGTAAGGAGCAGGAGAAGATACGTAAATCGACGGTATCTTACAAAAGCTTGAATCACATGCCGCGCGAGGCGGAAGTGAAAGAGTTGAAGTTGTATGTGGACAAGAAGTACGAAACTGTCATTTTACCTATCGCTGGTATTCCAGTACCTTTCCACATATCGACGATTAAGAACATTTCACAGTCGGTGGAAGGAGATTATACGTATCTCAGAATAAACTTCTTTCACCCTGGCGCGACCATGGGACGAAATGAAGGTGGATCTTACCCACAGCCTGATGCAACGTTCGTTAAGGAAGTAACATATCGAAGCACAAATACCAAAGAGCCCGGCGAGATCTCCGCACCGTCGTCGAACTTGAACACGGCCTTCAGACTGATCAAGGAGGTCCAGAAGAAGTTCAAAAATCGGGAAGCGGAAGAAAGAGAAAAGGAGGATCTTGTAAAACAAGATACCTTAATATTGTCGCAGAACAAAGGCAATCCAAAGTTGAAAGATTTATATATTCGACCGAATATTGTCACAAAAAGAATGACCGGTGGTTTAGAAGCGCACACTAATGGATTCCGCTACACTTCGGTCCGCGGCGATAAAGTGGACATTCTTTATAATAACATTAAGAATGCTTTCTTCCAGCCGTGCGACGGTGAAATGATTATACTGCTTCATTTCCATTTAAAAGTACGTGTTATATTTTTATCTTAAGCAAATACTTTCCAAATGTCATGTAAATGATGAATATGAATTATGTATATGCATAACGATATTATATACTTATAAGTGTTTGTGCATTTTTTTCAGCATGCTATTATGTTTGGTAAAAAGAAACATGTTGACGTGCAGTTTTATACTGAAGTTGGAGAAATTACTACGGATTTAGGTAAACATCAACATATGCATGATCGTGACGATCTCGCAGCTGAACAGTCGGAACGCGAACTGAGACATAAATTAAAAACCGCTTTTAAAAGCTTTTGTGAAAAGGTGCGTATAAATTCGATTTAATTGACTTATTACTTACCGACTTTACGTTTATTTCTATTGTGCAATGACATGTCTGTGTCGTATAAAGGTTGAAGGAATGACAAAGCAAGAGATAGAATTTGATACACCATTTCGAGACTTGGGATTCCCTGGTGCACCATATAGAAGTACTGTTTTGCTTCAACCAACAAGTGGATGTTTGGTTAATCTCACAGAATGGGTAATGATCTTTGATAGAACGAAAATTGATTTCAAGGCAAAGAGAATATTGCACTAATATTACATTCGATTTTAGCCTCCGTTTGTCATCACCTTGGAAGATGTTGAATTGGTTCATTTTGAAAGAGTACAATTTCATCTAAAGAACTTTGACATGATTTTTGTTTTCAAAGATTATCATCGAAAGGTGGCGATGGTAAATGCCATTCCTATGAATATGCTAGATCATGTCAAGGAATGGTTGAAGTAAGTTACATTATTTAATATAGATTTGACAAAATCCGATTTGCGAGCTTAAATTCTACCACCTGTTTGTCTCGATAAAGTGACACAAAGAGTAAACAAACAAGGATACACACTAGAGCTACGAATCTAGTCAAGGCTCTAGGGCCTATCCTTTTTTTGTTTACTCTTCGTCTTGCTCTACCGAGGCTACAGAGAGACGGTAGAGTTTAAGATCGCGATTTAATGTAAAGTTGATGATCTTACATTAAATGATGATTTACATAACTATTAAGTTTCTAATTTCTTGTTTAGTTCGTGCGACATTCGATATTCGGAAGGTGTCCAGTCTTTGAATTGGACAAAGATTATGAAAACTATAACAGATGATCCTGAAGGATTCTTTGATAGCGGAGGATGGACGTTCTTGGATCCAGAAAGTGATGCTGAAAATGAAGAAGTTGAAGACGAAGAGGAGGAAGAGGATGATGCATATGAGGTTCGAGATTTAGAGATTAACAAAATTTTCTAAAAATATAAGAGTGATAAATATATTTTATTTATATTTAATTTATTTACAGCCATCCGATATGGAAAGTGAGGAAGAATCTGATGATGATTCTGAATATTCTGAAGCCTCTGAAGATAGTGACAGTGAAGGTACTTTATCTGAAATTATATTTCGATCTTTGCTCTATTTTCTAATTTATTTAATTTTTCTTATATATATATTTTTTTATGTCTTTTTAGAGGAAGAATTAGGCAGCTCTGAGGAATCGGGAAAAGATTGGTCAGATTTGGAAAGAGAAGCGGCCGAGGAGGACAAAGAAAGGGGAGACGATCGTTATCGTGACGATTATAGTTCCAGTAAGAAGAAGAAAGGAAGCCGAAGACAATCTCCTCCTTCAAAGGATAGGTATTGTGTATAACAGATATATTTGACATTTTAATGTTTTAATGTTGTATTAAATATTGACTTTAAATATCAATTTTTTTTTGTTTCATGTAAGACATAATTCTAAGCACAAGGGTTCCACGAACTCAAAGAGTAAAAGTTCATCCAACAGTAAAGATAAACGATCATCTGACAAACACAGGTAAATATGGTCCCTTGTAATTTATAAACAGTAGATATTGCTACGTCAAGTAAATTTCCTTTTTGCGAAATTATATCGAGTATTGTGGTTGATAATTAAAGAACGGATCGATCACGGAGTGGGGGCTCACACAAGAAGGGGTCTCCTTCCAAATCATCCAAACACAGGTGATTACCGATAAGTTTTATATTTTTGACGTTGCTATAATAGAAATTTGTCTGTTTAGTCCCAAAAAGAGTGATAAACACGATAAGCATGACAAGAGTAAGTCGTCGCATTCTTCGTCCAGCAGTAAGAAACGTCCTCGTGAGCAGAGCTCGGAAAGAAGCGACAGATCTAAGAGATCTAAGTAAGTAATAACTAGTAAATGGTGATAATAAGTAGTACTCGTAATACTCACGTAGTACTCAAGTAGTACTCACATGATTTTAAGTACTTGGTTACATATTCAATTATTAAATTTTCACAGGAAGTAAATACGGAGGACATCTGCACATTGAGAAAAGAGCACATGGAAGCAAATGCTGATTCCAAGTAAAACTTTCTTAAGATACAATAATTTGTAAGAATAGTACATTTTCTTGCATTGATCAGAACAGAAATGAATTATTATTATATTTTTAATTTTTTTTGCCGTTCGAATTATTTTACTTTCGTACATTTAGTTTGTTGTAGTATATAAATAAAAATTTTACTTACAGTAATGATATATTAATATCCTTTGTAATCATATTTTCGATTTTAAATGTACATAACAATAAAATTTTGTACGAAGTCAAAATATGTAGGGATGCTTGCATATTATATTTTAATTTAATTTAATTTTTGTCCAAGGGAGAGGGGATTTGTTACTTTTCCTTTTTTGTCATTTTATAATAATATAGTTTCTAAGATTTTAAGTTACTCATTCCATTTTTTTATCTGATAATGTAATATAAAAAAGTTGCATTGTTATAAATAATAAATATATGTCTCTTCTAAGTTTTCCGTGGCATATATAAGGCATAAAGACAATGAAATAAATTCAGAATACCTCTTTTTGTCAAGCAGCATTGCTTCAGAAAGTTATAGCGTGTGATATTTTCGAATGTATGAAAGATACTCAAATCTACGTCTGTATTGATAAGAAATATAATATAGAACAGCATTAATAAGTATTTCTGATGGAGCTTATTTATTATGGATAGTAAAAACAATAATAGTAGAAATGCAAGACAATGTACTAACGATAAATGCGTGATTCATCACGTTATATGGATCTTGATAGAGTTTTTCTTTATGCTTACTTAAAATTGGAAATCTGCGTACTTTAAAGTATTTTTTTATTATTGGATTTAATATTACAACACTTAATATTGTTTGAAAAAATATTTCTCTTACATGACTTTTTATATGCTTTGGTTACTCAAAAAGGTAGAAATACTTGCCTCATCGTGTCCATATGTATACGCTGAGAAATGAAAGGATCATTGATTCGAAAGGTGAAGAAAGCCGAAATAAGTCGGAAATTGTCGAAAACTCATTTACATAGTTCTCAGATTTGTACCTTAATAAATAACATAATAAAACCGTTCTTAAGTTATTTAACATTAATGTACAAATGTCATTTGTGGTTTTTATATTCCAAAATGTATGTAATGTTGATACATAAAAATGCTTGTTTTTATTAAAACGCCCCACTTACTCGTGAAAGGAATTCACCATTATTATACGATAGTAGTATAGATTTATAGAATAATATGTGATCTGAGTACAATGTATGTGTGAGAAATTAGTTTAGAAATTAAAAAAAAAATGAAACAAGAAAACACAAACTACGGTAACTATTTTTTATTAAACTTTTGTAACAGGTAGCATAAGATAACTGTATATTGTTATATAACGATTTTTCTGATAGATTTTATCCCATTTACACGCGCACAGCTGTACATATGAAAGAAAGTGAAAGTTTCACAAAGAGTTATGAATCGAGAGACCTCCCGTTCTCAATATGGATATGTATTATAATAATGAGACAATAAAATTAGCAGAGCAGAAAACATGATCTAATAATCCTGTCGTGTCTTGATTATGATTAAAATTTCCGATTTAGCTGTCATGTAACAAATGGCAGAGCAGAAAAGCCGCATTCAGTAACACGATGAATAGAAGTGAAAGTACGCTTCTTCGATGAGTAGTTCTGCAACTTTCTCTATGATATATCGCTAGCAGCATACATAATTCAAGCTAAGCGATCCTTACGAGAATACATGATTAATTTTCACGATTTGCGAACTGCGCGTTTTGAGAAATGCCTATTTCAATGCTAAACAGCTTGTGAAACTCGACAGATCAATGAAATTATGAAACACAGGCACAAAGTATTTTGTTACAAAGTACATTGCGAAATTTATATACTTTTCGCATACGCAACATCGATAATAAACTCTGTGAACGGGTGTACGAAACGTAATCGCAGGCAGAAGATGATACGCATATATATAAGCTGTTTTCCCATACATTTATTTACGAAAAGTGGAAACTCTTCACATACGTAAAAAGAAATGCGTGAGATACAAAAGCAAGATACAAGGGAAACACTTGTTCATATAAATACTTTTTCTACGAAGGCACTTAAGGGTATGATTAATTTTTACACGACGATGACGATGACGACGAATTGTGCGCGAGGGGAGAGCTTAATTTCGACCTATTTGATCAATCTGGCTCTGAAGGTTGTTCACCACCTCGGGTGGAACGTGTTCGCCCAAGATCTCGAAGAGATTGATCCTCTGGTCCCCGGGGATCGATTCGTAGGCGGCCAATTCGATGCCCTCTTGGACCTTTTGTATAGTCGCATCCTTCGGGATAAGATAGGTATTCTGAGCTTGCCGTATCGCCTCATTGCTGAAGATCTGCCCGTCTTTCTGTGGATACGCCGCAATCACGCCCGCCAGAAGTAACGTGGCCAGGACTACAGTGTGAAAGCCCATCTGGAGGTAAGTGAGGGAAAAGATTATCGAAATGCACGTAATCGACGATTCGAGAACATAAGATTCGAAGGCTTCGAAAATATATGTGATTAAGAAATTTCAAATAGGAGATATATCGATATATATATATATATATATCGCCTTATTAATTATATATATATATATAATATATTAATTATATATTAATTATATATATATATATATATAATTATTACAAATTTACATGAAGTATTTACGCGAAAAGATACATATATTGAACTATAAATAAAATATTAAACATAAGAATATGTATATATATTATATATAATATATGTATATATTTTATTTATAGTTCAATGTATCTTTTCGCGTAAATACTTCATGTAAATTTGTAATAATTTTTTTATGCTACAACGTAAAGACTACTGTTTATCAAACTATATCAAACTAGATTAAATGCCGGCAAATCAAACTAGATTAAATGCCGGCAAAGAACAGTTGCCGCGAAAAATCGCGACGACGCAAATCTTCGAGCCATTTCACTCGGTACGTTCTCGAGAAACGTCATCCGACCTGCTATGAATACGGTGCCCCATTGACCAATATACAACACAGACAAGATTTGCTGTTACCTGTATCGGCTGAAGAGTTTCACTTTTATATGTATATATGTTTCTTTCTTGAATTTTGAAATTGTTTCGCAATATCACCGTTAGCTATTTTTAATACTGAACGAGCAACACTTGTCTCTATAATATCAAAGCAGATTTTGCACTTAGAAAACGAAGAAAAAGTGTTTGATTACATTAATAAATTCAAACAGAAATTAATAATGTAAAACAATATTCTTTATAATTTGTTATTATTGCTCTTTTTTTCTTTATAATTAATGATCGATATTAAATCATGAAAAGGTCCATAAAGATTGAGCGCTGAAACAAAATATAGCTAGGGAATTTACTGGGTTTCTATCGTTTGTAAAATATTTGCATTTAGCAGTAATTTGCCCATAGGTTTGTCGCAAATCTTTCCTTCGTTGAAAACAAATCGTCCTCTAAGGACAGTTACGATTACTTTTCCAAACAGGACCTTTCCTTTGTACGGTGTCAACTGTAAAGTTAAACAATTTTGAAGACTTGGTGAGATTATTTCGAGAAAAATTTTGTCACATATTCTACATATTTCCTACATTTTTTTACTTACTTTATTCTTGTGGTAAATGTCATCTGCCTCGATCTGCGAAAATACAGTTTTCTGGTAATACCCATATAAAGTACATAACTCTCTACTTTTCAAGATTAATACAACGGATAAAAGAACTGACTTTAATAGATTCATCTGGATCCCAAATAACGAAATCCGCGTCCATGCCAACCGATAAATCACCTTTGCGATCTTCGAGACCGCATAGCTTTGCGGGCTGACTGCTTAACAGCTTCGAGATATCGGAAAGCCGTATGCCTCGCGTTCTCGCGGCTGTCCATATCAGCGATAATCCTATTTGTATTTTTGAAGAAACTCTTATCTATATAATATCTCTTTCTTTTTCTTCTACAATATTTCATCTCTCATGCTTTCTGTTCTCTGACAAATTTGATGTAAATACATACCGAATTGCAACGAGGAGATACCGCCCCAAGCGGTCAAAAAATTTCCGCAAGTTTTCAATTCCGGTACACAGGGAGAGTGATCCGAGACAATCATATCTAACGTTCCGCTTTTAACACCGTGCCACAATTGTTCCTAAACATGTGTATTAAGATTTTTAAATCACAAATTATTTTATCAGATAAATCCGAATTTGATATTAAATATCAAAGTCGCTTGAAAGCTTAAAAAGTTTGTTTGATTAAAATAATTAGATGTGTATAGCGAATGTTTTCAAATACTGAGTATCAGAATATCTGATTATCAAAAGACATAGACACATGACGATTACGACTGAAACAGGAAGGACTGATAGAGCTTGTAAGTAAAAAGATTAGACTAATTACTCGATTACTTTTTTTCCTGATTGGCGGGCAACACTTGAATTCAGTGGAACCTGCCGGTATCTCTTCCGCGGTCAGTGTCAGATAGTGATAGCACGTTTCCACGGTTAAAGGCGCACCACGAGCCTTGGCATCGTTTATTAATGTCAAACATTCCGCACTTGACAAATGCACTATGTGGCATCGAAAGCTTGAAAGTTTTATATAACATTATTTTTATATAAAACACATTGAAACGAAATTTCTCCCTCCCTCTCTCTCTCTCTCTCTCTCTCTCTCTCTCTCTCTCTCTCTCTTTCCCACTTACTTATATTTTATGCACCAGTCGCAAATTAATTTTACGGCATCGAGTTCCATGAAGTCGGGTCGACTACGCAAGAAAGTATCATATAATTCTGGATCGCCTGGAAGCACGCGATACAAGTAAAAAACAAATTAATTCCGCAAAAACAAAAGTGTTACTCGTACGTACCAGTTAACGAATTCGTTTTTTCATCTCGCTCGTACTCTGCGTGAAACTGCAAGCACATTTGCGATTAGTCGTCGCGAATAGATTTAACGAGAACGTTTATAAGCGCAATACGTGATGCAATTATAGATACCGCCAGCACAGTTTTCGTAGGCAGTAATTCCAAAAAAGCTTTCTTCACATCGTCCACAGTGACATGTGGAAATTCGTCGACTCCGCTCGGGCATAAGAAGCACTTAAAACCGACTACACCTGCGTCAATTAACGATCGTAATTCGTGCTGAAAATTGCAAAAGAAGAGAGGGAGGTCAGTCACACACGTAAGAATAGGATATACAGAACGCTTCTTCTGTTTCACAATTTTATTATTCTTATGGATATTCTCAATTACTACCTGTCCATCCGATAAACTCTGCCACGACATGCGTTACGACTGTAACACGTAAATGTTGCTTCAGGAACGACATTCCCGCCACGTGCTATATTTCTCAGACAATTGACTAGTCTGAGACTATAAAACAGGTATCATTTTACATTAGTAATAGTAATTGGTACACGTCAGCGATTTCTGATGTTTTTTACAATTTTGAACTTATCCCTCAACTTGTGTAGCAAAAGATAGACAATGCGTTTATTCATTCGTTGTAGCTTTCGTGCGTGAAGCAAATGCTAAGTCATGCTAGTGCATATTCAGCGAGAGTATAATATCAATAAAATATTTTTGTCGTGCTTAGGTCTCTGGCCGTTTCAGAGTAAATTCTTAAAACGTCTGATACCGATGTGCATCCTCGGGTACGAATTGAGTTCCTATCCGTTAGAGGTATGTAATATGTATCGATTAATACCCGCGATCTTACTCTGTAAATATCCGATTAGCATTAAGAATTCTAAATATAATTTTTTATTGCATAATGTATTCTATTAAGAATGTTATTATCCTAAATTTAATTTTTAATTGCGTAATGTATTCTACGGATCGCTATCAATATTGCGCTCAGATATTAATGTTATACGATCATTGGAATAATACGCGACTGGTCTTCGATTGCTGTTATCAACTTGTCTTGTTAACCATCTTCTTCGGAAAGCTATTGAATGAGATCTTGAATCACGACAAAGTAAGTTTAGGAACAACCTTGCTTTCTGTGGTGCAATCTTTCAATTGTTATTTTAATAAAATCCTGCTTTCGATTTGCCCTTAATTGTCTCCGTAATAATTGTTGCAACGATCAGATTCAACGTTTATATACGACCATGGACAATCATTGGAATATATTTACAAGTGAATCGGAACTTCGAATTCTTAAACATTATTCCAACATATCGCGAAAATTTACAATATTTTACTCGAGTGAGTACGTACGTCATGTTGCAAAATATACATATTAGTAATGTATTGCGTAAGATTATATTTGATTTAATTTAATTTAATTAATTAATTAATTATTTAATTAATTAATGTATACTAAAAAGTTACATTAAGACATATAAAGTATATAAATATACTATAATATAAATGGCACTCCAGCACGCACGCGTGCGCGCGCACAATGCTGCTGTTATAAGGCCTACTAGCAAAATACATAATATTGTATAATTGAGTGAGACAATCCAATATGATACGCTTAACTACATTAAATTAAATTAAATTAAAAATATTTGTATTCCACTTGCACATAGAACGATGCATCGCATTCACACAAGAAAAAAAAAATGTATATTAATAATTTAACGTTATCTGTACTAACATATATATATAAGCATTTAATAATGAAAGTCCGTGAATTTTCTGTGTGTATATAACTTTGCGGGAATTAATAAATGCATAAAAATATATAATACTTTTTATAATTTTGCAGTGATCATCTACTTCATGTTAACAATATTTATGTTAGTCCCACTAACGCCGATGTTCCTCGACCTTATACGGCCTCTTAATGAATCACGTCCACGAATCTTCGCAGTCGTTGTAGAATATAGAATAGATCAAGAAAAGTACTATGCACTGGTTTTTTGTTACAGTATCGGTATAGTAGTGTTGGGCGCAATTACCATGGTTGGTGTCGATTCTATGTATGTCGTTTGCAATGCTCATGCTTGCAGTTTATTCTCGATCATTAAGTACGTACATTTACGCGATACTTTAAACCTGAATTTGCGAAATACGAATAGGAATCCTACTTCACAGTCAGCAATTCGAGGAGATACTATTAAAGCTGGATACCACGAAACCAGTTAGCAAATATGAACTTTACTCGAACGAGAATTTCGAATTGTTGAACGAGAAAGAGATATATCGGCAATACATAATATGCTTAAAAAAATATCAGCTTGCTTTAGAGTAAGCTTTTCTGAATAATCTTTGCTTATTTGACTTGTACACAAAGTAAATCTAAATTAAAATATTTATTATTTTGTCGTAGATTTGTCAATATATTGAATTCAATATATAAAGTCATTACATTATTACTATTATTATTGAATGGTATAACTATAAGTCTGATTGGAATTCGAGTAAGTATTGTATAATTATGTATGTGCAATTATACACATGTAGGAAAACAAAATACATATATATTACAAGAATATAAGAGAAAATAAATATTCCGTAAAAAAAGAAAGATTCTTCATAAAAAATGTTTTCAATTATGTTGTTTTATCGAAAATATCGTTACTTTCATTTGAGATCTTAAAATAATCATGCTTAATAACAGTTTCAATCGAAATTATTGCATTACTATGTAAATTCCGTTAAGATAATATTATATTTCAAATAGATGCTCAATATATTGATATTGATTTATTACAGGTCATTTATGTATTAGATGAATTGATAGAAGTAATGAGGTATAGTTTTATAATCGTTAGTATGCTAATACAACTCATGATCATGTGTTATTCTGGTCAAAAGCTGCTAGACCAAAGCCAGAATATATTTTACCGAGCGTAAGAATAATTTCATTTCAATTACTTTCGCATATACGTGTATATGTGAAATATATTATACTCTGGAAATAGTCTATTTTTATATTTATATTTATAACTATCTACAATATTATGTTGACTTTTGACATTTATAAAACGACTTTGAATTTTTCTCGTAATCATACAATATTTTTTATAGCACAAATAGGATTTTTTGGAAATAAAAGATAACGAAAGTTCACTTCACTTTAAAAAGTTAATCGTGATTTATAATGTTTACTTATCTGAATCTGCTTTGTACAAAAAATACTCAATTAAGTACAAATAAATTTGTACTTGATTCAAATATAAAATTTTTCATAAAAATTCTCTTTCTCTCTCTTGTGCGAATAATTCTTACAGAATTATTCTTTCAGATACGCTGTGAAATGGTATAAATTCTCACCGAGATTAAAGACGTTGTTAATTATAACTTTTTATAGGAGTGTTAGTCCCTCTGGTATAATAGCAGGCAACATGATTCCACTGTCAATGGCAACTTACGCTACGGTAAGAAAGAAAATCTGCAAATTGATTTGTAACAGAACGGAAAATAACTTATGCATCTGTATGTGATTAAAGGTAGTACGAGCGGCTTTATCTTACTTTATGACATTCTTGTCTTTCAAAGGCTAATTACTTTGCAATATATTGTATCTCGTATTATTAGATTTTATGGATCGTTCAAAATAAGAATATTAGGCTCTGATATACAAATAAAAATGGTAAAATAATTTATGAATCGTGTTTGAGATCACTAAGTAATGGACTATGTACAGACTAGGTACTTCTCTTAGGCACAAAAGAAGCACTTAAAATCAATATTGCACCTGCGCTTACTAAAAGTTATAGTTCACACTAAAAATTGTAAGCGAAAAGTGAAATTGATCAATAAAACGATGAGACAAGCACACATTGTCTGTTCTCATTCTTACTATTATTAATCGCATAGCATCTTTACCGCGTCACGCTACCATCATTACGTATATATACATTAGGTTGAAAAAGGTACGTAAAATTAAAAATGCTACCTCTGGTATACGAAGATGGGGGAATAGCAGCTTAGTTAGAAAATTGACACGCTACTGCGGTGGAAATAGCCAGTTCGTGCTGATGGTTCTGACATCCTGTAATTTCATATTTCTGGAAATTTGGACCTGATCGATGGCACGTGCAACACATGTCAGTTGTATCGTAGCGCTCAAACAGAAAGTAGGATATCATGTTGACGCATGTTTTACGAGAGTACAATCTCAATAAAATATTATTGTCATATATGGGTCTCTGGCCGTTTCAAAGTAAACTCGTAAGAAGTGTGCTACCGATTTCCTATCTTGTGCTTCAAATAACTTGCTATCCTTTGGTGGTAATATGTTAATAACGCATTTTTATTTGCACGAATACGATTGATATTTAAAAACAGTTAACAATTCAAATATTTTTTTAATATAATATATTCTATATATGAAATGATAATTAATGTTGCGCTGGATATTAATGTTATACGATCATTGGAAAAATTCGCGATTGGTTTTCGAATGCTTCTCTCAAATTGTCTTATTAACCACTTTCGTCGCAAAGTTACTTAATGATTTTTGGAACCACGACAAGGTATGTGTACGGAAAACAGGATAAGCTTATTTATGTTTTTTTTTTCAATTATTATTACAGTAAAATTTTTGCTTTGTTGCTATACAATATTGTAATATTCTTTTGTTATTATCAGATTCGACGTTTATGCGAAGCCATGGAGAATCATTGGAATATATTTACAAGTGAATTCGAAACGCGTATCCTTAAAGATTATTCCATCATGTCGCGGAAATTTACGATATTTTATTCGAGTGAGTAATTGCAAAGAATATCTACATAGATTAGCGCTACATATTACGTTACATGTGAAAAGAATGCAAATTTAATAAAGAAATTTTGTAAAGCATTTTTGTTGATACAAATCATATTGACAACATATCTATACACTTCTGTAAAAAATAACGTCAATTTCAATTTTTTTAATTATATACTAATTGTACGAGGTAGGGTCAAAAAGTTCCCGAAATTGGTCAATAATAATTTATTGAAATAATATACAGTATTCTTCTGTTATTGTTCTTCGAAGTACTGTCCTCTTACATTTACACACTTGTTCCACTGTTCATACAATTGTTCAAAACACTCCTGGAAGCCATTTTTGGAAAGTTCCTTCAGCTGCTTCGTCGTATTTTCCATCACCTTTTCTGAATTAGCAAAACGGGGTCCCTTCAATTTCATTTTCAGCCGTGGAAACAGATAAAAAATTCCTATAAAAATATAGCA